GGCGCAACTAGGAAAGGCCAAACTGACAGATTGGTTAAGGCAAGGGTTGTAAGAGACTAGTTCTCCGAAACGTGGAGACTTACGAGACGACCTTCATTGTAGACTCCGGCGTGGCGTTGGTAAAAGTCGTTATTTGTTCTTAACGGAATGTCATTAAGCTGAGCGGTGTGTCGCACCGGTTATGGTCTACGACTTAATCTGAGAAGCTGCCTTGCGCAGCCTGTTCATAACCGCCGCGCCAATATCCTCATCGTCTACTGTACCCTCTACAAATATGAGATCCGCGCCTCGTCTATCCAGTTCTCGTAACGCCGAAAAAAGGCCATGCGCTATGCTTCTGGTGTCCGTCCCTATGCTCACATCCATAAGCTTCCCTATGGGAACTGCAGTCGTGCTATCATAGAGCTCTGCTTCTTGAACGTCGAATTCAATTGCCAAGTGGTGCTCTTGGCCGTTTTGTGTTTTCACAGTCTCACTTTTGAAGTCGCCGCAGCGCAATCCGGCTGCGGGTTTCCAATGTCGAGTCCGTATAATACCGATCTGCAATCCACCACTCCCGTTTCTTGATATTTGCTGGAATTGTCGGCCTTGGATAAAGGTTTTGACGTCCTGAGCCTGGATGCCATTATAGTCCGCCGCGAAGGATGCCTCGTAAAGAATAACGGTTGCTTTTGGACTATAGTGTTTATACTTCATGCCTGGCGCTCGCGGCGCAGACTTGCCCGTTTCACTCTGGTCCTTATACCCCTTTTCAACCTTCTCCCATCCAGGACAACTCCGTAGTTCGTCTATGCTTACTCCCCCAGGCCTCAGAATCAAGGGAGGATCACATAGACCATCTACCACCGTGCTCTCAACCCCGACGAGACACGGACCCCCATCAAGTATAAACTCAATACGGCCCTCTAGATCTTCTAATACGTGCTGAGCAGTAGTAGGTGATGGCTTCGTCGAAGCATTTGCTGACGGAGCTGCCAGAGGCATGCCTGTTAGTTTAATAAGCGATAAAGCAAGAGGCGAATTTGGCATTCGAACACCAAAGGTTTTCAATCCGGCCGTTACTTCAGGGGCTAGCTTAGACGAAATTGGGTTGGGGAGCAGCAATGTCAAAGGTCCCGGCCAAAATCTTTTGATGAGAGGTTTGTATATCTCAGGTATTCGGTCATGGTTTGTGACGGTTGTGCCATTAGAAGTATTCTCGGGGGCTAGAATACTTCGAAGCATTTCTAGATCCGAGATGTGAATAATAAGGGGATTGTCCGATGGCCTCTTCTTGGCAGTGTAGATCCCTTTTACTGCTTCGCTTCTTGTGGCATCTGCTCCGAGCCCATAGACAGTCTCAGTTGGAAATGCAATGGGCGTATTCTTAGTTTTCAGATATTGTGCGGCCTCATTAAGGATTCTGATACCAGGTGACTTGCTTTGAGAAACCTCCCATAATCCCAGTTTTTCCTGATCATTTCCATCCCTAAATTTACCTAGCTCTGTCTCTGGTACCTTGAGAATTTGTGTGTTTATTCTTGGGAGGTCTTGAGACATTGTGCTGTAGGAGTTGAAAATAGCTCGAACAGTTTTAAATCTGCGACTTAAAATTACAGACGCCAACTTGCTCAGATATTGAAATGGGTTTAGTCGAGTAAGGATTTTTTTTTTTTAGTCTGGTGGGAAGTTTTGATAAACTAAAAGACCTTTCAAGATTGACACAAAATTCAACTCAGTAAGGAAATGTATAAAACTTCACTTTAGTGACTCATAGAAGCACCAATACACAACCGACGACAATGACGATATACGATATGAAAGTACCTAAGGTACTAAGGCGGCTTATCGATTAAGATTAGCTACCTAGGTACCTACCTAGGTACCTAAATAACCTTTATCGGCTACGACATAAGCCAAATTTCAGGTAGGTATTTTAGTTTCAGAAGCTTTAGAGCCTATCCTTCAGCGGCTTGACGTGTAACAATAACTGTCGAATTCGCGATTTAGCGGAAGTACAAAATACAACGTAGAATCGTCACTTACAACCCTTGAACAGCCAACCCTTGAACAACGCTCGTTGGTTGGATCAACTTGATCTCTACCCACATCAGCGGAAAGTGTTGTTCAAGGTCCAGCAATTCAAGCTTGAGTATCTTAAGCCGCTATGCACCTCCCACAACCAGTGTCCCAATGTCCGCCAACAACATCCCTAATGGCAACTTCACGGTGTCAACAACGCAGAAAGCTTCTAATAAGCTAAACAATCTCTCGTCAAGTTCCTCCATTCACAATGTCTCGACTCTTTCCGACGTCCGCGCTGGGCTAGCTGCCCTACATGTGCGCGAGACCAGCATAACTAATCGCCTCAATGCGCTTCTATCTTCCCAGGCCGACTTATCCCGCGAGCTAGGCCGGCTTGATCTACTTCGTGCGAATCTCGGCTCCCAGGTCATCGCGACAAGATCCATAAGCAATGGGATGCTCTCGTCGGCTGCCGACACTGCAGGACGACTTTCCAGTCGGGTTAAGGAGCTCGACCTAGAGAAAGACAGAGTGCAGCAAACACTGAAAGTTGTTGAACAGGTCGCGGAACTCAAAGCGTGCGTCCATGGAGTAGTGGGCAGTATGGGCGCCCCCCAAGACTGGGAAGCGGCAGCAGGATATATCTCCCGCGCAAGCAAAGTGCCAGAGCCTATTATACGCGGTGGCTTTGCGGCCTCCATGGTACCGAGTGTCGAGGTGCCAGATGCGCCTTGGGTAACACTTGAGAATGCGAAGGAGAGCTTATGCGGCTTGTTCTTACGAGAATTCGAGAAGGCAGTCAAAGAAGGCGACGGCGCCAAGATTACGAGATTCTTCAAACTGTTCCCTTTAATAGGGAGAGGAGATGTTGGATTAGACGTATATGGACGCTACGTATGTCAGGGTGTTGCCGGCACAGCTAGGGCAACTCTCAAGACGACACCTGGCGACGCAGGGAAAAGAGATGGGTTCTTTTACGCCAACGCGCTTACAAAGCTCTTTGAGCATATCGCCCAGATTGTCGAAAGTCATGGTGGGCTCGTAGAGAGGCACTACGGTGAAGGCAAGATGGTTAAAGTCATAGAGAGACTCCAGATGGAGGCTGACGTTCAAGGTGGTATTATTTTGGATTCGTGGGGCGACGAAAGAAGCGTTGATAGAAAACTTACCGACGCAAAAAGTTATCCATTTTCCTTCTTAGTACAAAGTTTCCTGCCTCCGCAAAGGACGCTTACGGGTACTCCGCGTGTAAACTCTCCAGCGGTGGGCGGCGGTACCAACTCGCGGAATAGTGAGGATGAAGGTGTAGACATGAAAGAAGTAGATGCTCTACTTAGCGAGATCTCCATCATGCTTGGCCGATGGTCATTATATTCAAAGTTTCTTGCTAGCAAATGCAGAGTAAGTATTTCTAATCGAGCTTTGTTGTTCTAACAATTAATTTTGATCAGAATCCCGATACCCCTGAAGATGTACCTCTATCAATACCTGAGGTTGTCACAAAATCCAATCTCGGTCGAAAGATCTCATCAAAGCTCACATCGCCTTACAATTCCTTGGCTTTGTTCTTTTTTAGACGATCTGTTGAAAAGGCGTTCCAACTAGACGAATCACCTATGGGTCTTTCCCTAAATCTTAACAAGCCTATCGATGGAAACGCCCCGTACATCATCTCGGCCGTTGACGATGTTATGTATATCGTCAGCGCAATAATTCAGAAGGCTATGTCAACAGCGCAACGTGACGTAGCCGCCTCGGTAATTCCAGATGTCGGGAGGGTACTAGGATCAGACTTTATTGGAATGGTCCAGCGGAGGATGCGAGATGAATCATATCCGCAGCCAACTGTTCAAGGGGGGCTACCACCTGAAAACAAGATTATTTCCTTCATTGTGCTTATCAACAGTCTAGATGTTGCGAAAGACTATCTGGACCGCATCATTACATCGCAACTAGGCACTTCCCCTGATCAACCCAATGGAGCAACAGAATCTGGCCCCCTTGCCGCGTCCTTCCCGTTCGAGCATGATGTTACATTCGTAACTACAGCACTTAACACATTACATTCTACGTTCGGGCTTAAGACTGGCGAGCTGATATCTGATGCTTTAAGAGTCTTATTCTCTGCCGTTATAAAACAAAGACTAAAACCAGTACTAGTTGAAGCCTTCCGCGATGCTGATTATTGGCGTTCCGAAGATGAATTGGCAGAAATCGCGCGCCAAAATGACGAAGACGAAGACGAAATCATAGATCGTGTTCAGCGAAGATTCGAAAATGGGTGGGATACGCTGATGAAACCTATAGCACGAATTATGACCCCGAAAACATTCACGGCGCTCATGGACCTCACAGCGACAGATCTGTCTAAGACACTTGAAAAAAGGGTGTGGAGTTATAGCGGGAAGACCAGCGCGTATGGGGCAATACGAATGGAGCGGGATTTCTCGGGCATTATCAGCACTGTTGCTCGAGGTAACTACTCCGTTAGGGAGATGTTTGCGAGAGTATCGCAGATACTCATGGTGGCTAATATGGAAGAGGATGAATGGGAAGAGTTGAACAACGACGAGGACGAGGACAGCATCCAGTGGGTTCTCAACGAAGACGAAAGGCGAAGAGCTAGAAATTTAGTTAAGGCGTGACGATAGATGATCCTCATACTCTCCGGATTTTTATAACATGTGGCAAGTGTAGGATGCATCAGGTTGGTGAAAAGTCATGGTACGAAGTAGAAGACCAAGTAAAAAGATTCATATTATTCCATTTTCTACCATTCACTGTGCTACAAATTTCCCCAGCTGTTTTTAATAACAGGTACCTAAAATAGTAACACACCGGAAACGTTAGCCTTTTCGTTTTTGTACATGGATGAATGTCAAGATGTATGTAGAGAAAGACATATTCGGCATAGAAAAAATTATAACATTATACCGTACGATACTTATTATTATTAGGTACCTAGGTACCTTAGGAAATTACATATCACATGCATCTATCGCAACCTTTCCATTAAGAAGGACGCTATCCGCTTATCGATACGGACAGAATATCGATAAGCCAGCTGCAGCCGCGTTTGACTTCCAAACCCCCAAGCTCCATTATCCATCTTCATTGTTACAATCTCAACATCGAAACCATACCCCCAGCCATCACCTGCCTACCCCCCTTCGCACCCCCCCATAACCATTAATACGATACCTAGCATCATTCCCGAAACCATGGCGACCTCTCATTTTGGCCTCCTAGAGGAACGAGAAGAAAATGAGCTGCACAAGACCCGTCTCCTCAACGTAGAAGAGAAGCCCTTCAAGCGGCTTACCAAACGCCTCGTCGCGCCCGGCGCTTTCACGAGTCCCGGGAAGCTGGTCACACCTCCCCCCGACGGCACCAACGATACCGAAGCAAACTCATCACCGGCAATCGACATCAGCGCGCTAAAAGAAGACATCATGCTAGACTTCGAGGCGTTCGACGCGCAGATCCTACGACTGCAACTTCTAGGAACGGCGAACGCGCAGGAGCGCGAGCGATACGCGGCGGATAGGATTCGCATCCTGGAGACGATGGAGTCGGTGCGGGAGGGCAACGCGCGGCTGAAAGCGCAACTGGACGAAGCGCGCGCGACGCTCGCCCAGCGCCGCAAGTTCGACGAGCTGGCCGACCGCATTACGAACAACCGCATGTTGCGCCCGCGCGCGGAGCAGGCCACCAACCTGGCTAAATTGGCCGAGGAGTGCGAGGACTTGCACCGCGAGAGCGAGACGTATGGCGCTACGTGGCGAGACCGCCGCGAGCAGTTCGAGCGTCTGGTTGAGGAGGGCAAGAGGCTGCGTGCTTTGATCCGAGACGAGAAAGAAGAGGTGGAGCGCAGAGAAGGCATGGATTCGGATGCGGAGGATGGAGAGGCTGCCGCTACACCTGGTAAGGGCGGGCTTGTCAGCGGGAACAACACGCCACATCCCGATAGCGGTGCTGTCTCTGGGGGTGGAAGAACCCCGAGACCTGACAGTCCTGGCGCTGGAGGCCCCCCCGGGTTGAAGCCGCGACTCGATGCTGGCGGAACTTTCTCGCGAGCGGGAAGCCAAGCGCCGAGTCAACGGGCGGGAAGCCAGAATCCGAGAGAAGAGCCGGAGGAGGGTGAAGATGTCGAGATGGGCGAGTCGACGCAACAGAACCAGCGGGCCGATACCCCTATGGCAGAGGATGCATCGCAGACACCCCAAATTACGGTCGAGGCGCCTGGTGCTGGCAATGGCGATAGTATGGATATATCATGAAGGAAATTGCGGGCTAGGGAGGAGGAAATATACATTTATGGGTGGGTGGCTCCAGCGGTCTCGTAGTTCATCTTGGAATTACGTATCATCTATGATGGTCTATTACGCGCATCCGTGTTGCAGGAGTGGAGGAAGTATACCCAGCGAGCAAAATATCACCATACTAGGTTAGACTAATAGAGAGGGGGACGATGGATTATCGATTTTATACCACTCGGGTAGGTCCACCTCTCAAGGACAATAATATAAAACGAGCTTCTATGGCTCTCCCTCTCTCTCTCTCCCTCTCTCTCTCTCTCTCCTGGTAGGAATATTGGTATCACTGTATTAATTGATTCCTCTTCGTAATCCTACACCCTCGTGTCGTAGTCCGGGAGTCCACCTCGGACAGCTCCCCCCTCACGCAACAGGCGGTTCTTCAACCGACTTCCCCAGCTCCAGCGCTTCCTTGGCCTTGTTTATTTCGTCAGCAGGTGCGTTCTCGCTCTCGGCCGCCGCGATCTGCTCCTCAAGTCGTTGGACGGCTTCTTCGATGCGCTTGTTTAGGGGGCCGAAGACGGCTCGGGTTTCGTCTACGGCTTTTTGCTGCAGGGTTACAATTTACTTGTTAGCACACTGGGTACGCGCGTATCTTCCATATTTGTCCAATAGCTCCGGGATCTGGCTCCCTGGAAGTAGAGGGGCAGAGGATGGCTCAAGCATACCTCCTGCTTCAGGACGAACCCGGCGTTGCTATCTGCGTCCTCGCCCGCCGCTTGCAGGTCTCCCTCGAGCTTCTTGACGCGCTCTGATTGTTGCGCGAGTTCCTTTCGGTAGGACTTTTCTTCCTTGACGAGCCGCTGTACGGACTGCGTGGCGATGGTGAGGGGTGATGGGGGCGGCATTGTCGTTGGCTTAGGTCTGCTAGTTGTAAGATTATATTATGTAGGTAGGTAGGTACCTAGTTAGGTGATTTTCTGGTTTTCCTCGAGGTGGAAACTACCTAGTAAGGACAGTCGGTCGGGGAGAGTATTGTTTCTGTTTCTCAAAGAGAGATCTTTAAGTAGCTGGCTAGGTAGATGTTGGAATTATGTACAGGTACGTACAAGTTACGTTTATTCAAGTCTACCTCCTGTTAGGTTAGTTAGGTACCTAGGTACCTTATAAACCTGGGAATATGTTTTGGTGGGGTTGGCGGGGTAAGGTGGAAACGGTAATGGTATGCGATTAAACGGACAATGAGACCGTTTTTATCAATATTAAATATGTAGTTAACAACTAAGTAAGTGAACATATACCTCTCGCTTCCCCCTATTCTTATACGACGCTTCTTCGTACGCCGCGGGTTTAGTTCAGCATAATAAATCCCCCATCTCTAAGTAGTTTTCTCTTTCGGTTTTTAATAATGATCTTACCGTTAATACATCCAACAGCCTCGATATACATGACAGGCACCTGGCAATTCCGCTCCATACCGACAAAAAGGGGTCAATACTTCTCGTGTACCGTCTCCGCGCTTACCCCTGAGTTCGCACTGCTATAAACCCCCGTAATCCGTAGTTCGATCTTTTTCTTCTACGTAATCCAGAGGTACGTTCCTACAAGAGCCATATTCGCCCCTGAGGTCTCGCCCGCGACTATAAACCCCTTCGCCGGGCCGATTCCTAGATTCCCAAGGTTCATAAAAACCTATTCCATATGCATACCTTAGGTACACAACCATTTGTCCTCTACAAATATATCCATATAATATTCTCCTCTCTGTTTCCTAACCCATCTAGGTGTAGGAGATGCCAGGAAGAAAAAGATAAAAATAACATAGAGTAGAAGAAGCTAACCCAAGTCAAAGCGGCATACGCATCCTCGACCAGCCCTGGGAAAGGATATTCGGGGGCTAGCCTGAAATCAACATTGACAGCAACACCGCCCAGCTAGACAACGTATAAGCTAATCTGCAAACACGAAATAAGGGAGCGAAGTAGCTCGGGTTGTAGGCAAGTCCACTTGGTTAATTCAGGGTCTATGGGCAGAGAGGACTCGGATTTCCTCGATTGACCTCATCTTAACTAACTTGTGTAGTAGCGAAGATGAATTTAACTGATAATCTTTCGTCTCCTACAAACACCCTACATTAGTAAAGCACCTTATATTCACATATTGAATAGTATTGCTCTGCTTAACTATCTAGTTACTAGGTAGTAACAGCTACCTAGAGTCATGTTGGATGAGCTTTAATTGCCTATTTTGATGTTTCGGCGTGACACGGAGATTTGATAGATCGCAGCCTTGTGTGAAGGCCTGCTACAATTATTATTATTTATTACTCTATTTATTCGCATATGTTCTGCACTGAAGCATTCTATTCTATAAACCCACCGCTCGGATCCAATATCCAAAACTAACCCAAATATACAAGCTATTACGTCTATAAGTTCCGGACGAGAAATCCATCATTCTGGAGCGTCTGGAACACTTGTTCAGGGTCGTATTTCGCTGCTGTCGCCTTAATGTGCTCGACATTTTCTGTGCCATAGCCATTCAATACGTCCTGTATCTTGCCTGCTGTGTTCATGAAAATGTACGGTAAAAGCAAATCCTTTACTTTGGCTGCGTCCGTGCAACGTTCAGTTATTCTCTGGGAGATATCCCATATGGCTCTATCCTGCGTTGGGTCTGTCCATGTTATGTACCACTCATACCCTAGTGGATTTTATTAGTACCTACTATAAATAAACGGCAAAGGGGAATGGTAGACTCACATTGTTGCGGGACCTCCTCTAGGCCTAGCAAGTTCCCACCATATTGTTTTCCCAGCGTAGCTACACTAGCTGCAATTGAATTTGGTACCCAAACAGCCGAAGCGCCACTGGGGAGGCTAGCCGTTTCCTCAGTAAAGATACTATATAACTCGACCATGAGATCAGCGTCTGTCTTGTGACTAAATGTCTCGCCATAAGTGCGTATCTCGCCGGTTGAGAATCGAGATCCCGTCAAAGCCATGATATCCAAGAGTGAACCGTTAAAAGCTGGTAGGATCGGCTGGTACGCCCCAAGAGCATAGAAGGCATCGAATGCTTTAGCTTGTTGCACCGGTTCGTTATAGAGTAGAAGAATGGTCGGGCCACTTTCTAGCAATTGGACCTATGATATGTTAAAATCTTATATAGAAAGAGAAGGGACATGAGCAAAAAGGATCTTATCACATACTAATTTTATATTAGCTTCGATTATAGAATCGCGTCCGCCTGTCGGGTTGGGTTATACGTACCACTAATACTTGACAACGGGTCTAACTGTCCCTCCTTCTGATATTCGGCAACGGCGTGTAGGAAATCAGAGGTCTGATTCGGACTATAGGCGCGGGCATCGACATAGAAGTCCCCAACGGGGTATGTGTAAAGTTCATAACTTGTTACTATACCAAAGTTAGAGGTGCCACCTCGTAGCCCCTTATACAGGTCCGAATACTCGTTGTCAGCTGAAGCGGTGACAATGGTCCCATCAGCTAGAACCACCTCGTACGATTTGACATTATCAAAAGCAAGGCCACGTTGGGTTGAGAAGTAGCTTAGTCCACCTTCTTTTTGTTAGTTTCGGCTATTCTGGGTTACCGCTGTTATAATTAGCATGGTTTACTCACCCCCGAGCATCAACCCACCAACACCGACAGGGCCGACACGCCCACCGACCACGACTAGGCCTTCGGGCACAAGAGCCTCGTAAACTGCTTGCCATCTGTTCCCAGGCCCAATTTTAGCGGTTGTCTTGTCTTCTGACAACTCTGTTGAATTTAAGCTTGAAAGCGAAATTAGAACCCCTTCGTCGACACTTGCAAAGCCTGGAATGTAGTTGTGACCACCACTCCTAATTGCAAACTTGGCCCCATTTTGGGAGAGTATCTTTACTGCCATAGATACTTCCTGGGCGTTCTTCGGGCTGACAATACACGCAGCCGGTAGCCTACATGCTGCAGAACTGCAAACGGAACGAGTTAGCCCTCGGGATGTCTTGGTAAATACGAGAAACAACCTACTAATTTTCATCTTCGATGTCGTTATATGTAGCTCCGTCTGAGGGGAATAAAGTTCCGTTTACATCTGTTAAAACGTCACGAAGTACCTCGCAAGTACACTTTACATCGCCCGTGCATGTTTGCTGGGTGCGTAATATGTGACTTGACGAGCTAACAACCCTTACTGGAACTGGTGTAACGGATTGGATCGTAGGAGTAGCTGTGAGTGCGACTAATAGCGCATTACGAAGGATCGTAGCCATGCTTAATTCCTAGTATAAATGTTTGAGGCAGTTCAGCTTCGTCGGCAGCGGAATGGAATAGCTCGAAGATGACATAAAATGACAAGCTAATAAGAGAAAATCGAAAGTTTCTCTGCCACCGCATGGGCATGTCCAATATATTATATGAGCATAGCGGTAAGTCTAAGAGACTAGAACACCGAACAGAAGCTTCGAAGGAAGGGTCTTTTGTGATTGAATAGACGGTAGGTGCGTATCGAATGCAATGTTCTTTCGATTTGACTATGGCATGCCCTGTCTTCGTACCCACAGGGCCTCTAACCGCTGTGGAGTTTGGCTATGGACTAACTTAGCAGTCAAGGCCGGTTCAGCTATCTCTCTAGCTGGTAACCAACCATAATGGTGGTAAATACATTATGATTGTATGATTGTAATGCCTTGCTAGTGGGTGATTGTGGAAATGACCGCTAGCAATCGATATGAGATGGTAGTCGATAACTCTAGGGAAACTAGTTCTAGTCCTAGTATAGTTATTCCCAAGTCAACTATTACTCCTCGGAAGCTCTTTTACGTTGCGCCTCGTAGTTCTAAAATAAGGGGTTGTAACCTAGAAATGTCAATACCGCATGCTATATTGTACTTTGCTATAGTGAATAGGTAGGTAGTTATACCTGACTATTAGTTATGAGTTATAACAGGTTGGGGTGCATACATAGAAGACAGTAGGGTCTAGAAGGAATCTATACGCGTTTAATACCTGCAAGGTAATAATACGATATCACTAATAATAGAGTGAAGTTCATGCTCTTCGATAATACGAACTAGTCGAAAGAGGAATCTTGGAACTTTTGGCGTCGTCTGTAATGGAGCTAAGCTAATGTTGCGCCACAAAGATCGGGATTTAGATAAAGATTTATGGCTGTGTGAAGTATCTTATCGTTTGTCTTTGTGCCTACCTTCGGCTGTCAATTACAAATCGCGTCATACCTACCATCCCATCTTTTTTTGAATTACTAATTGCTAATTGGCAGTTCCGCCACATCCCGCGACAAAAGTTCAGAATACCTACCTAACCTACCTAAGGTAATTAAATCATCAACACTCCTTATATACACTAAACACAGAAGCGCACAAGCGCAATGGCGTCGCAAAGTATCTCAATGCGTAAGGAGCCTTCCTAGCTGCCACTGCCACATCTTGCTAACTTACTTACAATAGCTTCGGTCTCCAACTCGGAAATCAAGCCTGTCGTGAGCCCCGGCTCCCAAGCGGTCGCAACGTCGAAGCCGAAAGTATGAATGCAACCATATTTATTTCTCGCAACTATGCTAACCGGTATACCAACTAGCCATGCTGTGTCTGTAAAGACGAGAAGTCGAAGCGCGACGAGTGTATGCTGTTCTCAAAGGCAACCGATCCCACCAGCGATTGCAAGACAACTATAGATCAGTACCGGACATGCATGGCCGGCTTCGGGTTCCAAGTATAGAGATACGACGTGCCACAAGCGAAGGAGATCACAATCACTTTTAGGGATTCTCTGTACAATGGGAGATCGATTGGATTACGGCGAGCCGGCGTTCCGGATCGGATAGACATGAGGCGATATACCTCAAAATGCATTACGCATTGACTGGCGTTCAACAGGAGTAATAAAAGCAGAATCCACTCTTCGGTGCAATTGTTCGGTCTATTTGATATTCGAGGTTATGCGGGCCATGTGGGTTCGACGGATATTTGTTGCTGTCAGGCTGAATCCGTTGGAGCCCACAACCGAGAGAATCGCGCCGCTTGATATATGCAGCCGACGAAAATAGACCTCGTTAGCAAACACATGGGAATAAGAGAGCGCATGCCAGGCGGCCAATCAGTCATAGCACTTAGTTCAGCTCTCTCTTGCGTCAATTATCTCAATATCTGCTTTGAACCAAGTATAACCTAGACCGAGAGGAGAAACTCTTTGATAGGAATAGTCGCCTCTGATTCATCTATCCGGGTTTCCGGGTCATTTGGTGATCAGCTAAGTTAGTAGAGACCACACGGCATCCCCGTTTATGGCAATCACATAGCAAATGAAGTATATCTAATGGTTAGGACTCGAATAGAATTGCGGCGATGGCTTACAGGCTTACATGATAGTACTACAGGATTGTCTTTTCTTGCAACGACTCGATGTGGTTGTTAGTCTGAGATTCTGAGCGGTAGCGAACTAATCTATTGAACACCAAGGACTACATCAACACTCACTCGCTAACGGTTAGCTATTTCTACGGCTTTCTTACTTTTGTGAATCGCAGATGAGTTTGTCAGGCTGGCTTACGAGGCTGGCATGTGCTAGGTACATGGCATAGTTCTCTGAACTGCACCATCCCGCAATCCTGGCAAAGCGTGCGTTGCCTCGGAAGCTTCCCGCTATGTAATATGACCCCTGATCGTTTCTTACATGGGACCCCTGTAAACGACTGACCAGGCATTTTGCCGCATTTAGGCTGAATGTCTTCATCCTCAACTCGTCCACGATGATCCACCGGTCTAGATTTCAGAACGGGCAGCTGAGAGTCCAAGATTTCAAGAATACTTGCTTAGCATTAACGTATCAGATCGAGCGATTAATCCTCTAAAATACATTATGCGGCGTATGAGAGGCACAAATTCGCCGCCTCGTTGATGATCTAACATGGCTTGACGATTACAGGTCATAAGCGAGCGCCGTTAGCAGCTCCTTCTGAAGCTATTGGCCCAGTTGGGGGTGACTTATGCTCGTGAGTCGTGAGAGCGGTCCGACAATGCCATTCCTTCAAGAAACCCGGGGCTCCCACGGGGACAGCCTCTACAAGTTAGCGTCCTAATTCCCCAGATCTGGGGCAAACTACAGAGAAAGCTGGTAACAACTCACGAGGATCTGCAACTTGATTGGAACCCAGCGCCTACGTAGTCGCATCGCTGGCTGCGTTGGTGGAACCAGTGCGCTGAGGTATTGTACAATAGCAATTCACTTACACCGCATCCAAGTAGCATCATCCTATATCGGTCAGAATCAATGACGATGATAACAACCGGGGTCTACCAGACCAGCTAGAACCAGTCTTTCAATTTAGACACTTAACTAAGACCTCACGATATCCCAACTAGGATAATGAGCCGTAACAAAAGTGCTATGTGGCTTGCTAGACGTGCTAGCTACTAGAGCTGCATTCGTATTGAGGCTCGAAAATGACTACTACGAATTGCTTTGCTTAACTCGACTTCTCCAATTGTCCGGCTTCGCGGGGCGTTATCCCGAAGCGAGATATATGCTGGCTAACAGCTGAGCGTCTGACCAGGTCTAAGCTGATTACTGTTCCGAAAACCCTTGCTACGTCTAATCTCTTAGTATTCCTTCCACTCTCGTCTGAAGCTCTTCGACTGCCGGTGTATCGAACTCCTGGTGTAATCGTGTGTGTATGGAAGGACGACGTATTATTATACAGTTTATACAGTAAAGTAGTAAACGCAAGCTTTCTCCAAAATACCATATAGGCAGTTGGATGGAAGACAATTAGCTCTTTTTAGCACTCTACCCAATAGGGCATGTCGTAAGCATCCAAAGATGGGTGAGGGTCGTTGGAGAATGGAGATCGAAAGAGAAGGGGGAGATGCCAAGCGTTGTTAATTTAATTTCTGCTACGACCGCCGCAGAATAGTTCGGGTCAGATATAGCACTATCCCAACAATACAAATATGTTCTCTATAGACGAGCAGAAATCTCTGAATAATGGATTCATCTGATGACGAAGAGTTTTTATGTATAGCTGATCTCAGTGGTCGGATTCGTTAGCCACATGAACATATATGCGTACGGTAATAGAGAGATGCTTAACTGTAACCGAAACTCTCTGGCTTCACTACGACGCAGCCTCTATTTGCCATATAAGCGATAGGTTGATATATTCTAGCCAAGGCGTGACTTATGGGTCTAGCAAAATCAACGACAATCCGATTCCTACCTATCCTTCTATTTCTCGTCGACAGGGGACTTAGACCTCCGACAAGGGACTCGGAGCTTTGGTATTGGTATACTATCCCACGCGCAAAACTCTCCTAATGATTCTGACGTGCATGAATCGCATTCTAAATTATTCTGCCTAATACAGAAGCCAAGGCATTATATTCTAGGCCGTCTCCGACACCATGGAACCAATTACTCTAGGCTAGAATCAGAATAGACCATGGTCCATCATACAGGTCGTTAATGAATTTTCAGTATGGACAATATGAAGGGGGCATGGGTTGATCATTATGAAACAGAGGTATCGTCCAAGAATGGTGTTGTCGCTAGAATAATAGTACACCATCCAGATGCCACCCAATTGCCACCAATAGGAGGAATCATATGTGAACACATTTGGTATAGGTTAACTTACACAACCCAAATAAACCAAGTTCGTCTCTCACGTCCCGCGGTGGGATCAGACCCAGGATATCGGTGTTACTGGTCGAGTATTTCCCCGCAAATCGATTATATCCAACCAAGGACAGCTCGCATCGTGCTGCTCGCTCGCTGAGGAACTCATCACACGGCATCCACGATTGCCGTACTATGGTACTATGTATAGGTAGCCACGATGTATTATACTATTATGCGTTCTCGAAGAGTTCCAGCGTTTCTGGCCCGCCCGGCCAACCTAGCTGTCTATCATATCAAATCGTGACATGGGCGGCCGGTCGATACATTGGCGAGGGCTACCCTCCCGCAGAATTATCCTAGGCGCGGTAGAAGATCTACTGCGACAAAGATGGTACGTAGCATGAGGGTCTATGACAAAGGCATATACCTGTTAAAGATGCGAATATACTACCGAGCAATATAGAACACCTGCAAGTCATACTAAATGGGTTTTGTTGTTGACCTGATTATGTACAATTGTACAATACGGTGGCGTTGTAACTCGGCCGGGCCTGAGATCGCTCGTGCTCGGCGCATCTAGAATTAAAATCATTAACCGAGATGCGGATTTCTTTTTGTTCTCTCGGTTCTCAAGTTCCCATGGCCAACGGGGGCCATTTACTAGTAACTCGTACCCCGGTCCGTTTACTTAATTCCCCATGGTCCATGGCACCACGGGGGAGACTAGGGGATGGGGGAGCAATGGGGTAAGAAAGACCCGCAACCCACCCACATATGTATGTACCTATGTAAGTGACTTACCATGAGAAAGGGTCCCATTCCAGATCTCGCGTTCAGGAAGTGAGATGGCTACAAGCTAGGTGCAATTCGTTCAAGTAAGCTTCTCTACCGGTCCGCTCGCCCGTCTAATGTAGATGGTACCCTTGCTACGGCCCCTGGTCTTCCCATAGATCATATATATCTGGTTCCTCCGTCCCTTCGAGCTTTGTTTCGAGCACCTCACTGTAGACTCACCACGTCTCTACCCTTTCACCTTCAAGAGACCAAGCTTTTCAGTAAGCCTCAACCTCACCGAAGGACCAGCAAGAGTCCTCCCTTTAGGTTGCAACACCTCGACATAGTCGCCAGTTACGCTCGCGCGGTGTGAAAAGAAAGTTCGCAGCCAACCGAGACAATGGCGATCGGCATCATCTCGCAGAGCGCGCCGCGCAAGGATGAGATCGCGAATGCGCAGGAGGAGGCCCCGGCCTTTGAGAAGGTCGACTGGAAGAGGGACCCCGGTTTGAGGAAGCTGTACTTCTACTGCTTCATACTCTGCGTTGCTTCGGCGACTACTGGTTACGACGGGTATGACTTACACGCAACACTCTCTTGGATGTGGTGAAGTGTGCAAACTAACAAACAGTATAGCTCGTTCTTTAACTCGGTACAAGTGTTCGACAAGTGGAAGGCTTTCTTCAACAACCCACAAGGATCGCAACTCGGTCTCCTTGCTGCGTTGTACCAGATTGGTAGCTTGGGCTCGATTCCCCTAGTGTAGGTCTCAATTATCTTCTCCTGCGCCGGGGGGAGGATACGAAATTCATTGTACGTTCTGACATATCACAGCCCTCTACTAGCTGATAACTATGGCCGAAAAATGCCAATCGTTGTCGGTTGTGTCATCATGATCGTTGGTGCTATTCTCCAAGGAACTGCTCAGAACATTAACTCCTTTATGGGTGGTCGTGTCATGATGGGATTCGGAAACAGTTTAGCTCAAATCGCCTCTCCCATGTTGCTGACCGAGATTGCTCACCCCCAGCACCGTGGTCGTCTCACGGCCGTCTACAATTGTCTATGGAACGCGGGTGCCATTGGTACGTCTTGCCCCTTGAAGCCTTGTGTAGAATGGGAGTTGCTAACCCTTTCACAGTCGTCACATGGCTCTCTTTCGGCACGAACTACATCCAGAACGATTGGTCGTGGCGTATTCCCGCCATCCTTCAGGCCCTCCCCTCCATCATCCAGATGGCCTTCATCTGGTGGATCCCCGAGTCGCCTCGATACCTTATGGCCAAGGATAAGCACGAACAGGCCCTTGCCATCCTCACCAAGTACCACGCCAACGGCGACGCCCACCACCCGACGGTCCAGTTCGAGTACCGCGAGATTAGGGAGACCATCAAGCTAGAGATGGAGAGCAAATCCAACAGCAGCTACCTCGACTTCTTCAGGACTAAAGGAAATCGTTACCGATTGGTAGTCCTCCTGTCTCTGGGTCTCTTCTCCCAATGGTCTGGTAACGCTATCATCTCCAACTTTGCCAGCACGCTCTACGACCAAGCTGGTGTGACAGACTCCAACTCCAAGTTCGGTGTAAGTTTTCATGACCCGGGTCGGAAAAGCCGTCTCTAACCTAAGATCCTCTAGCTTTCCGGAGGTCAAATGATCTTGTCTCTTATCGTCTCGGTTACCATGGCCACGCTCGTGGACCGATGGGGTCGCCGAACGATGTTCCTCACCTCGACTGCCGGTATGTTCGGCGTGTTCATCTTCTGGACACTCTGTGCGGGTTTATACGGCGAGCACCGCTCTCCTGGCGCCAACTACGCCATGATCTTCTTCATCTGGCTGTTCGGATTCTTCTACTCGTTCGCGTGGTCTGGTCTGCTCGTCGGTTACGCCATCGAAATCCTGCCTTACAAGCTCCGTGCCAAGGGTCTTATGGTCCTAAACACCATGGTCCAGGCCGCCCTGTGCCTCAACGTGTATGCTAA